TCACTATGTAGACCAGGCTGGCCTTGAAGTCACAGAGATCCGCCTGCCTCTACCTCCCAAGTGCTGGGGCTACAGGCTTGTGCCACCATGCCCGGTGGAAATGCAGGATTTTTAAGCACAAAAGCCTCAGAGCGGGGATTTCTATAGAAATCATAAACAGATGTACCAGGAATAGGTTCAAACAATCTAGGGCTGATTTCCAGAGCCTTAACCTATACAGCCATTGGCTAGCTTACCTGGGGCAGAACATTTTTCCTCTTCTGCCCAGGACCATTTCCATAGAAACCATAAACAGATGTACCAGGAAAGGGTTTGAACAATCTAGGGGAGTTCCAGAGTCAGGTGAAGGGGGCGCTGAGGACACTCTCCTTCATTCAAAGGGAGCAAAATGGCCCCTTCCCAGTGGCCCCTCATTCTGGGACTGCAGTGGAATCATCCTGGGAAGAGCTCTGCTCTGAAAGGTGTTCATACCACCACACAGGGTCATAACTGTGTCTTTCTTCCTGTTTTCATCTAGGATTGTGAAGATGTCCAGCCCCAATCTGAACATTGTGACCTTGCTGGGCAGTTGTTTGACTTACAGTAGCGCCTATCTTTTTGGGATTCAAGATGCTTTCATGGGAAGCTCAATGGAAGCTCTCATCCAGGTAGGTGACATTTTGAAATTTCGTTTTGAACTGTTTTAAAACTTTGATAGCATTTTATACTCACAGCCATTCTGTGAATGTCCATGGTGTGGGCACAATATATGAAGCCCCACTTTCTGTCCCGTGTCCTCTGTGGGCCTCACAGCTCAGTAAACATTTCACTTGTGACTCTTGCTTCTGTCCCCTTCCACCTGCAGATGAGATTGTCCATTCTATGCATCGGGACATCCCTTGTGTTTGGCCCCATTCTGGGGAAGAGTTGGAGACTCTACAAGGTGTTTACCCAGAGGGTCCCAGACAAGAGAGTGGTGAGTTGGCAGCCAGTGCACAATGTGGAATTGCACAGCAGCTCCATGGTGGCTCAGAGCTAAGAGAGCTAGTACTGATCTCTCACCCCTTTACACTAAAATTCTTGCTCCTCAGTTCAGCCTTTGGAGTGATGGTAGCCTCATAAAGCCCCAGACTTACAAGGCTGAGCATCAGTGCTACAGGAAATTAGATCTCTGAATATAGGGCTGCTTCAGGTATACCCACCCCAGAATCCCTGGGAACCTGTGATGCTTGGAGGAAAACAAGATGCCTAGAGAGGCTGGTGACTGGCACAGACAGGAGCTGCATGGAGGAGGGTGATTACAGAGAAGCTATAGCAAGAAAGCAGTTGTTTCCCTCTCTGGAGCCCAGGCCTTTGCTATGCAGGTGGTTCTCTAAGGACAGTGAACAAGAGGATTCAGCAAATAGAAGAGACTCTAGAAGGCTTGAAGCAGCCAGGTTACCCACACGCATTATTGTACTCAAGCTCCTCCATTTCATCAGGTTCCCTAATAGGACTGCCCAGATCTCTTTGGCTAGAGACTCCCCTGGCCTCAGATAGGATTGTCAGAAAATCTGTCTGGAATTACAAGATTTCTTCTAAAACAAACATTATTGAATCATGATGCACACTTAGTAAAAGTTCAGCTGTGAGTAACCATGCAGATACAAAAGGTTGGCTCAAAGGACAAAAGGTTTATTTATCCCTCTAGATTCCTTCTTCAAAAATAGCTTTTTGGAGGCATAACTAACATGCAAAAAATACACATATTGAAAGTGTGATGTCATGTTTTGATATGTATTCACCTACAAAATGTGGTATTGTACATATCTTCCACCCTCAAAGTTCTCTCAGACCACTCTCCTGCCTGCTCATCATTGTAACTCCTGTCCTCAGGACAGCACTTGTTTGCTTTCTGTCATTATGTATTGCTTTGCCTTTTCCAGAATTTTATATAAATGGACTCATGGACTAGAGAGATGGTTCAGTGGCTAAGAGCATATACTGCTCTTGCAAAGGACCCAAGAGAGGATCCCAGCACCCATGTTGGAGTGCACAAATGCCTTTAACTCCAGCTGACACCCTCACCTGGCCTCAGTGGGCACCTGCACTCACTTGCACATACATATACATAACTAAAAAATAAAAAATCTTTTTTTTTGAGACAGGGTCTTCCTATAGCCCCAGCTGGCCTGGAACTCGCTATGTAGACCAAGCTGACCTTGAACTCACAGAGATCTGCCTGCCTCTGCCTCCCAAGTGCTGGGATTAAAGGCGTGTGCCACCATGCCCGGCTATAAAAATAAATCTTAAAAAGAAATTAAAGGTCATCCTTGGCCACATAGTGGTCCTACCTCAAAAAAAAAATGGTGCTGGAGTTGAAGTTCAGTAAGGAGAGTACCAGCCTAGCATAAATGGAATCATGCAGTGGGTACCCTTTTTTAGTCTGGCTTATTTTATTCGGGTAATTATTTTGAATAAAGTTATTCATCCATGTTGCTCTCTATCAATAGTTTCATTTTCTCTGTCACTGCTCAGTAATATTCTAATGTGCAGATGTGCATTTCTTATCTATTCACCTGTTGGAGATTGGGTTGTTTCTTGTTTGGGATTATTACAAATAAGGATGGTGTGTTTATATACACATTTTGGCATAGATGTCTGCTTTCATTTCTCTTTGGTAAAAGCCTAAGGCTAGAATAGTTAGTTCATATGATAGGTATGTATTTAACTTGTAAAGAAAGTAGCACATGCCTTGAATTCCAGCACTCTGGAGGCAGAGGCAGGCAGATCTCTGTGATTTCAAGGCCAGCCTGGTCTACATCTACATAGTAAGTCCCTGGCTAACTGGAGCTACAGGGAGACCCCATCTCAAAGAGAGAGAGAGAGAGAGAGAGAGAGAGAGAGAGAGAGAGAGCACTGTTTTCCAAAGCAGTGGAGGCCTGTGTCCATTCCCACCATCAGTACAGAGTCTGTTTCCTCCATATCCTTGCCAGCTTTTGATTTGTTTGGTCTTCTTCATTTGAGCTATTCTCATAGGGATGCCCACTAGCATCTCACTGTGCTTAGTTTGCATTATCTTAGTGCAATGTTGAGTATCTTTCATGTGTTTAGATAGCTTTGATGAAGTATCTGCTCAAATCATTTGCCTATTTTTTAATTTTTTTTTTTTGGTCTTTTTGAGACATGGTCTCCCTACTGTAGGTCTAGCTGCCTGGAACTCACTCTGTAGACCAGGCTGGCCTCGAACTTACAGAGGATCTGCCTGCCTCTGCCTCCTGAGTGCTGGGATTAAAGGCGTGTGCCACCACGCCCAGCTAATTGTTTTAATTATTGAGTTTGAAGCATTCTTTTTTTTTTTTTTTTTTTTTAATTCTGGGCACACATACTCTGAATTATATGATTTGCAAAGATTTTTCTTCTACTTTGTGCCTTTTCTTTTTATTTACTTAAGAGCATCTTTCATAGAGAAGACATTTCTAATGTTGATGAATCCCAATTTGCCAACTTGTTCTTTGTACATTGTGTTTTGGATATCATATCTGAGAAATGTTTGCTTAACTAATGGCACCAAAAAATTTTCTCCTGTGTTTGCTTCTAGAAACGTTAGAGTTTTTATTTTATTTATTACTATTACTGTATGGTGTGTGTATGCTTTTGTGTATGATGGAAGGAGGAGTGCGTGTGTCATAGCACGTATGTGAATGTCAAAGGACAATTTGTGAAAGTTGGTTCTCTCCTTCCACCATGGAGGACACAGAGATCAAATTCAGGTTGTCAGGCTTGGCAGCAAGCACTTTTATATCCTAAGCCATTTCAATAGTCCTCATATGAGTTTTTAAATTGCTTTGTCAATGTGTATAAGAATCCTGTTGGCCAGCTGGGTATGGTGGTGCACACCTTTGATCCCTGCACTCCGGAGGCAGAGGCAGGCAGATCTCCATGAGTTTGAGGCCAGCCTGGTCTACATAGTGAGTTCCAGGCTACCTGGGGCTGTGATTCCCAGCACCCCCATGGCAGCTATGAACCATCCTTAGCTCCAGTTCCAGGGAAATCCGAAGCCCTCTTCTGACTTCTGCATCATTGCATGACATGGGTGCACTCATATACATGCAGGCAATATACTCATACATATAAAAAAAATAAAAATAATAAAATATTTTTTAATACCACCCCCCCCAAATCCCTGTTGGGATTATGACTGAAATTGTGCTAAATCTATAGATCACATTATTGAGAATTGATTCCTTAACAACATTGTCTTTGGTTCATGAATACAGTACATATTTCGATTTATTTAGGTTTTCATTAATATCTCCCAGCAATTTTTTGTATTTTCAATGTATTTCTTTTACATATTTTACCAGATTTATTACTATT